GTTCGGTGACCCTTCCTCAGAACTGACACCTTTGGCAGAACTGGCAGTTCTGCGGAAGGGTCACCAGACACGAAGCGTTAACTCTGTTTTCTCATTCACAGATCCTGCCAGACCTGCTGAGCTTTTCCAGCAACTTTGTTTTTTGTTGTAGTATTAGCTCATAATTGGCGCAATGGAGAGGAGCACCCAATGTTATATGCATCCAGGGCTTCGGCTAATGCAGAGCTAAAACATGCCCAGATAGAGAAGGAAGATTTGGCGGTCATATTTAGAGTTAGGAAGTTCCACAAATATATTTACAGGCATAAATTTGTAATAATAACAGACCACAAACCCCTGCTAGGTCTACTTAATGAGGACAAGGTAGTGACACCCATAGCTTCAGGCTGAATTCAGCAGTGGGCTCTAATACTAAATGCATATAATTACAAGTTGGAACACTGTCCAGGAGGCCAAGTAGCAAATGTGGATGCACTGAACCATCCCCCGCTGGCAGATACATCACCAGCAGTACGGCCATAGGAAGAGTGGTTTTGGGCATATTTCCAGTCACTGCTGACAATATCAGACGTTGGACGCAGAGAGATGCAGTCCTGGCAAAACTGAAACAGCTGGTGGTGATGGGGGAATGCAAAGGGCTATCACAATCAGAACTTAAACCTTTTTGGATCTAGAGAGACCAGATCACAGTAGAGGATGGAATGTTATTATCGAGGGCAAAATTGATTGCCCTGAGCAAAGGTCACCACCAGAAACCAGCTGAACTCCACCAGGGTCATCAATGGGTTTCCAAAATAAAGGTGTTGGTGAAAGGTTATGTCTGGTGGCCAGGATTGGATGCAGACATAGCTGCGTTGGTGGGGCAGTGCCCAAAGTGCCAACAAGGACAAAAAGTACTGTCAACAGCTCTCCCACACTCGTGGGAATAACTGGGTAAACCTTGGACTCGGTTAGACACCAACTATGCAGGTCCTGTCATGGGCTCAGTTTTCTTAATCATTGTGGACACCGGCTCAAAGTGGCTGAACATGCATTGAGTTAATTCGTCAAACACGGAGATGACGGTAGAAAAACTGCATGCATCCTTTGAATAAACAGACTCCCGGAAGTGTTGGTTACAGATAACAGGCCATTGTTTACCAGCAGGGAAATTGAGTATTTCCTAAAATTGAATGGCATTCGTCATATAAGGACAGCTCCATACCATTCATCATCCAATCATCTGGCAGAAAGAGCAGTCCAAACTTTGTAGGTAGGCTTAGAGAAACAGCCTAAAGGTTCACTAGATACCAAACTGAACCAGTTCCTATTTGTTTATCAGACCACCCCTCATTCAACTATAGGGATAGCTCCAGCAGAATTGCTAATGGGAAGAAGCCTCCGCGAATGGGGTTAAATCTGATCTTCCCCAGAGGAAAGGTGAAACGGCATCAGAAACTCCAATGTCACACACAAGACTCTGCTAAGCAAGAGAGACAGATTACTTCAGGGTATGCAGTTTGGTGTAGGAATCATGGGAATGGCCCTTCACAGGTAAGAGGCATGGTCAAAGTGAGGTGAGGTCCAGTGACATATAAAGTTCAGGTCAGTGTGACAGTCCTGAACAAGCACATGGACCATGCGAAAGCTACAAACTCATAAATGGTAGAGGAGCGAAATGTGCCTGGCTCATCGACTGCCTTTCAGAGTGTTTTGGAATCTGGGCTTCTCTCTCTCCAACAAGCGTTGAAGATACCTTGGAATCTGAGATGGACACGGCCGATGTCACCACCTCGATGCCTTTGCTGCCTGACAAAAAGAATTAATTTCCTGTGCTACACGCCACCCGTATCAGAAGTAGAGTTGGAGGAACCTGACCCCAGTGCTAAAACGTTCCAGGATGTACTACAAAAAAAGAACTGGCTTATGTCCTCAGACACAGTGGGAGGGATGTAGTGGTTATAATGAGGTGAGCCAGGTAGACCTCATAGAATACGCGTTTCCTGATTAGGGCAGTTAATCTGGTCCAATCAGGGAGCCTTGGCTGACAGATATAAACAGCGGTGTCAGAGGTTCTGTTTACTCTTAAGAGCTAGCTCTGAGGCAGCTGGATCAGTGTCAAGTGCTATGCACATGAAAATAAAGGGTAACTTGGTGACGGAATACTGGCTTCTGTGGAGTTATTTCACAAAGAAGATCAAGAAACTCTTAATTGGTTGCAGCCAGCATATATTAAAATAAAGCAGTGCTCTAAACAGATTTTGAATATTGAACCAATAAATATCACAACATACAGTATACAAAATTATAAAGTAGATTTTAATTAAATTCACAGAAAACAGCAATCTGTGGTAGCTAACATTAACTTATTTATTTTGGAATCATTTGCTTGGCTAGCTATTATGTCATAGAATGAGAGGTAAAGTTTGGAAGGGTACATTCAAAATGCATTGAAAATTGTTAGCGACACAAAAACTGTAAAAGCTTGTTCCTCTTTGACAAATCAAACAGAAGAAAAGAAAGTCTTGCATATATATATATATAATACCTTCCATAACATCAGGACAACCCAAAGCAATTTACAACCAATGCAATTTTTTTTAAGTGTAGTCATTGTTGTAATGTAAGATCAATCCAAAGTGCTCACCAACTTCCCTCAATTTCTTTTCCCCCAGAAATCTTTGCATGTCTTTACAGTCTTGTTTCCTGTGTAATTTATTCTCAAATTTAAGGCATTAGGTGTCACAGTTTCACGTTCTCTTTATTGCTGAAACTTGTTAACGTTGTGAAAAATATGTTAATTCTCTTCAGAATGTCAAACCAATCTCCCCTTTCCCTTGACCTTTCCTTGCAAGCTAACAAAGAGAGTCTCTCTGATACAATTCTTGTCAGGACATTGTTATACTGCACTCCAACTTAAGTTAGATGTCTCAGCACAAGAACAGGAATTGAGTCTGGAACTTGCTGCTATGAGAAGTTCAGCTGTGTGCTGCTTTTAGTAGCTACACCATCAAAGGAGGCTCTTTCTGTCACTACTGAACTCTCAGGTCAGATTTTCATCTTCCAATGGAATTGGGCCATGAAATCTGAACAAAGTTTCTTCTGATGGAAAAACATGTTTTCTGCCTGCCCAAACCCACACTCTTGCCATATGGACTTTTCACAGGTTGAGAAAGCTGTGAGTTAAAAAAATGCACACTCAAATACGGTCTTCTGAAGCTGGGGTTCTAATTGTGACAACTACAGGAATATTTGAATTTCTTTTCCTACTCTAGTTTTACACATTATTTGGAAGACCTTCAAAAAACACACCTATTTGGAAAGTTTATGACCTCTGGGAAAATCTATTGAAGAGCCTGAAACATTCTGACAGACAATCCAGCTCTGTTGACCCTGATAGACAGTGGAGTGATTGACAGTTTTAAAAAGTTACAATTGCATAATCTTGGTTCCTGTATAAAAACTTATTTGGTTTTAGATAGATACTTCAGGAATTGAACATGTTCTATTTGCCTACAGTTTATGATGTAGTGTCAATGACAGATTTGAATGAGAAATGATTGCTAAAGGATTTTTATCACTTAATTACAACTCTTGCTGTTGCAGTGTTCTGAGAACTTGTATACAATGAATAATGGGTAGGTGGCTATGGAGGTTATATGGTGAGTATGGGGAGGGCATGGGAGTTTTGAAGGGGTGATTAGAGAGGATATGGAGATAATGAGAGATCATGGAATAACCTGGAGGCTATGAAGGAGAATGAGGTGATTTCTAGGATATGAGTAGTTTATGGGGTGTATGGGGCGGGGGGCATGCAAAGGACACAGGGGACTTAGGTCGAAGGGCTAAGTGGTGAGGTTTTGAGACCTGAATGATGACATTGGAAGCTAGGCCTTCTACCAGCTACCACGACATCGACTTTTCTCCTGCTCTGCATTACTGTTGTTGGTTACCTTGGTTAGGAAATTAAAATCTCGGGCAAAAATCAGACTTGAGTTGAGCATGCATTTATAAAACAAAAAAGACCGACTTGCATTTTGTTAATGCAAAATAAAAATATGAGCTCCCATTCATACACACTTATCAGCCAAATGAGCTAGTGAATAAAGGAAATCAATTTTACCAATATTTTACACATTTTAAGAAGCTTTAATGAGATATAGGGCAGTTTCTAGGATCTCCAAAAATGCTCAGTGATGACTGATCATGTGGAACATAAACTTTGGCCTCTCTTCACAATATGCAGAAACTTAATTGTCACACCTTCACATTTAAACAGAATCTCATTCCATTGTTTTAAAAGGTGGTATTGTTCTCAACTTGAATACATATTGCATTTTCTAGTGAGTCATGTGATAAAATCCTCCAATTCTAGTGAAGAAAATAAGTGTCTCAGCCCTCGAACACTCCCTTTCTTTTCTGGTTGAGTCTTGGAGTTGGCCAGTTTATTTATGTGCTGTAATAAAGGAATAAAAGTGAGAAGCTGTTTTCATAATATAATCACAGCATTTCAAACCCAGGATTCTAACTAATGTGGTGCATGCTTTCTTCATTGGAGGTAGTCTAACCAGGGCGTTAACTAGTTATTCATTGTATTCACAATTATTGATAGTTGAGTTACAATTTGAAGAAAAGTTTACATTTATTAAGTAAAAGATCAAACCACACTTTTCTTAAATAGATTTCTGAACAGGTCATAGAAGGGTTCTTGACATTTCTTTCCTTTTAGAGATTCCACTGCATTTGATGTTTCATTTAAACATCCTTTTACAATGATAATCATGTAAAGGCTGTGAGCTGCATTGCCAGCTCACTAGACTGAAGTCCCACCAGTTCAGTACTCCCAGGACTAATCTGAGTGACTTACATTTACCTGAGTGAATACTTCATTGTACAGGGCTCGGTGAGACCACATCTGGAGTATTGTGTGCAGTTTTGGTCTCCTTATCGGAGAATGATGTTCTGGCTGTAGTATGAATAGAATAGTTTCCCAGACTGAGATGGCAGGACTGACAATATGAAGGCAGACTGGATCAATTAGGATTATATTCACTGAAGTTTAGAAAAACGAGGAGGGTGTATCACAGAATCCTATAAAATTCTAACAGGACTAGATAGAGTAAACGCAAGAAGGATGTTCCTGATGACCAGGGAGTCCAGGACCAGGGGTCACAGTTTAAGGATATGAGGCAGGTCATTTAGATGAAGTCAAATTACTTCACTGAGAGAGGTGGTGAGCCTGTGGAATTATTTTACACAGAAAGCAGTTGAGATCAAAACATTGAAGACTTTTAAGAATGAGTTAGATATAGTTTTTAGGGCCAAAGGGTCCAGGGAGAAAGCAGGAACAGGATACTGAGTTAGATGATTAACCATGATCATATTAAATGGTGAGAGGGCTCAAAGGGCTGAATGGCCTACCCCTACTCTTATTTTCTATGTAAGTCTCTGACTCCTTTGGAATGACTCTTTGCTATGGTTTAGAAAATAAAACTGTTTTGACTTGCTGAATTCTAAAACTATCTTCTGATCCAGGCAGTCTCTGCTTTTCCCAGTTTCCTGCTGGTACTGGGGATAATCTCCTGATCAAAAACAAAGGCAGCTGAGGAGCTCCCATGTAGTGGCTGGTAACATTGTATAACATTGTACAGTGTGATTGATGGTGACACTAGCCAATCACACATGGCTGAAGACACTGGTACCATTTTTAGACCATTTGTGCCTATTAAGGAGAAAGTTGTGTACAGAAACAGAGGCAATTGATGAAAATGATTTGCTCAAATGTTTTCTTTTCATCAATGAATAACACCAGGTCAACAACAAAGTTCAAACGAGGAGAAAAGAAAACCAATGATTAGGTGATACCAAGCCAGTGGACAGTCAGAGGAGGAGAAAAGTGAATGTAAGCAATGCTGTCAGGCCTGTAAATGAACAAAGTGAAAGGAGGAAATGGTCAACATCAGGAGTAATAAGTTGAATGAAGAGCTGAGCAATAGAAATGCCTGAAGAGAGGGACAAAAAGACAAAGTCGAAGAGATTAATCAGAAAATCAAATGTAGGAAACAGAAAGTAAGAGTTGAATTAGAGCATGATAATTTGATCAGAGGATAACCTGTGGAACTTGGAGTATCGGTAATGAGACGATAGTGGGTTTACTGTCTGATGATCCAAGTGAATGAATGACCCAATAAGACATTTGGATACATAAGAAGCCAAAGTTTCAAACCTACTGGCTACAGTCATCATTCCATGTATGAACTCAATAATTCAAACATTGGAAAATCAGCCAAATGAAGTACATTTTATTTCACACAAATAGATATGAAATATTACCTTATAGGAGAGAACCCTTTCTTCATCACTAGAAAGCAAACGCAGGAATTATATTAAAGTGCATCTCAGCTCTCAAATAAACAAAGTATTGCATGATAATTCTGTTTCAATGTACATTTGTAGGATCACTTTCAAACTGGTCATCTCCTCTCGCCAGAAGATGGCCAATACCAGATTAAGGTTTTCCATTCCTCTCTGAAACTGAAAAATTAACTTTTACATCTGTGGAGTCCTTTTTCCATCAGCTTTTAATTAGTGGTGAAAATTTACAAATAAAAACTTTCATAATTTACCTATCTGCCGATTTTATCTTTCTCTCTTTATCCAATTCTTCTTTTCTTCTTTTTATTTGATTTTATGCACCTGATTTAACACTTATTTGCTCCCAGATACAAGTTTGCTTGTTCTCTTTACAAACGTCCCAGATTTCCTGAGAAGTTCTACACCCTACAGCTTGCCTTGCAAAATCCCATAGAAAGACCCACAACAGGAGACCTTCCAGCAAAATCTGCCTCAATAACTGTTGTGTGCAAACTAGCGTGTTTGATTAGAAAGTAATAATTGCAAAATCTTAAAATAATGCCCTCTGCATGTCGCTGTGCTGTGTCAGCTGCAAAATGACATTAAGGCTATACCTACAAATTTTTCAGACATAGTAAGAACTAGAGATGCTGGAGTCAGAGATAACACAGTGTGGAGCTGGAGGAACACAGCAGGCCAGGCAGCATCAGAGGAGCAGGAAAGTCGACACTTCTGAAGAGCGCCCTGACCCGAAACGTCGACTTTCCTGCTCCTCTGATGCTGCCTGACCTGCTGTGTTCCTTCAGCTCCACATCGTGTTACCTACAATTTTTTTTCCCTGTTTTTAAGTTATACGCTGTCTGGGTAGTCTATCTGACCATAAACCTATAACGTTGCTATTTAATCATCACTTATTGATTACATCTCTTTCACTTATATTACGTGTACATGAAAGAGACATAACTTTGGTCAGTAACAGATCAAAGCATAAAAAGGTGAAATTTAAGGAAAGAAAAGCGTTACCTTTCTTTTGAAAGAGAATGACAGCACTTAACACTGAAATTAGGCAGACCGAAGAAACAACACCAATGCTGATAATTTTTGTTGAATTATATTCCTTCAGGGTACCTAAAATAAGAGAAGAAAAATTATAAACATAATGAATAAATCAAAGAAGAAGATGGTGATGTTATGGAGTGGGCCTGAGTTGGATAAATTCAGAAATTCAATTTTGAGTTCATGGTACGGGCTGTTAGCCAACTCAACTGAAGTAGAGATCGAGTAGCTTGAATTCGTTTGAGAACTGCTGAGGACAGCAGAAACCCAACTGTTAATTATGATCCAATCACTGCTGCTGCAAAAGAGAGATCTGGCTGTAAGATCTGGTTTCAATTTGTCTTCTGGTTGCTGTTCTTTGATTTTTACATCAATTCAAAATTTAGAGATTTATTGACTCTTTGAACTAACAGTACAAATGCCCACCTTCCTTAATTGAGAGTTCATTTACTGACCCTTTAAAAAATTTACAGATGTTTCTCAGTTTCAGTCAGCTTCAAAGTCATCATTATATCGAGCTCTCTATGTGTTGACAGTTCAAGGAATCTCATAGTGAATGTTTGGCAGGATTCCAAACCTCATAAATGGATTTAGCTCGATAGGGCTACTTCGAGTGCTGTGATGGAAACTGTGGACTATATTTAATTGACAGTTTTATAAGGCCCTTCGATGGATGCTGGCTTATTTTGACCAATCAAAATCTCAGAATGGAGTGAATGATTAAAAGTGTGGAAGCAGGGCAAGCAAAAGGGCTGCTTTTTAATCTGAGATAGTAGGAACTGCAGATGCTGGAGAATCTGACACAATAAGGTGCAGAGCTGGATGAACACAGCAGGCCAAGCAGCATCATAGGAGCAGGAAGGCTTATCAGAGATAGTAGGAACTGCAGATGCTGGAGAATCTGAGACAACAAGGTGCAGAGCTGGATGAACACAGCAGGCCAAGCAGCATCATAGGAGCAGGAAGGCTTATCAGAGATAGTAGGAACTGCAGATGCTGGGGGATCCTGCTCCTATGATGCTGCTTGGCCTGCTGTGTTCATCCAGCTCTGCACCTTGTTATCTCTGCTTTTTAATCTGGATGGTTTTGAGTTTGCTCATTGTTGTTGGAGCAACAAATATGATCACTACTAAGCCCTCTATGCTAGTATGGAACTTCCATGTCCATTCATCCACTACACACAATATAGAAACAATGAACATATAGAGAAAGATGGATGTTCCATTTCCACCTCCAAAAAAGAGGTCAGCTAGGTCTGGTGTTCTGTGTTCTGTACTCATGATGTGTACCAGTCTGTACTCTTAAAAGGCACTCGAAAACATTGGAAAGCTCGGGAATTCGGTTGAAAATATTGGAGCAGTCACCTGTCTGCCAGTTTGAAAGAGCTCCAAGTAATCTAAACACCGTGAGCATCCAACACCTGACCTGAACTCCATTAATGCTGTATTAGTGAATTTGATGTCAAATCAAATGCAAAAAAAATTACCATTTGGATGTTCCCGCTAACATGTTCTAAAATTTGCTTCTGAAATGTTCTCTTTCTATTAGTGGGTCTTATTTGAGTCCGTACCTTCACAGTAGGGGGTTATCGCTGTCCACATTCCTGTTGCATTGCACTGGAGCCTTTGTGAGCCCTGCAGTGTAAACCCTGTTGCACAGTGGAAGTCACATGTAGAGTTGAAGCTGAAGTTTCCATTAGGATGGGTGCAGCTCATAGTTGCTTGGTCAGGAACATTGAGAGTGGTACACTGTTCAACTGCACAGGTGGAATTAGAATCTTTTATTTTGCAGTAAAATTTATATTTTGCTGTTGGTGGTATCAATATAAATATACAGGATGCATTTTTTTGCCAGGTATGTATTTCCTACAATCCAACTATATTTTAAATAAAAGCACTGTAAGTCTCCGAAAGGCAGGGATGAGGCTTGTTGCTAAGATTCTCCGACCCCCAGTGACCCGCCCCCATAACCATGTGCAACTATGGAGTTTCTATGTCCATTCATCGACCACTCACAATATAGAAGCAACAAACCCTATAGTGACAGATGGGTGTGACATTCCTTTCTCCACAATGTAGTTACCGAGGTCTGGTATCCGCAGTGCAGGCTCATAGTATGAAGCAGTTTGTATCCCTAAAAGGCACTCCTAAAAATTGGAAAGCATCAGAATGGAAATCAGGAATTCTAGTATAGTGTCCTGTCCACCATTTTGAATGGGCTTCCAAGTAATCCAAACCTAGCAAAAATCCAACCCATGATCTGAACTCCAGTATGATTAAAGATGTTCAGTGCAGTGTGATGGAATTATCAAAGTGACAATGCTTATTAAAGCTGAATCTAATTCCCACATTACCTTCACAGGTTGGGAATGATGATGACCACATTCCCGAGGCCTCACACAGAAGATTCGCTGACCCATTCAACAAGAAACCTTCCACACATCCGAAGTCACAAATTGAGTGATAGCTGAAATTTCCAATTGGATGGGAACATGTGCTGGTCCCATTTCTAGGGATCTTTGGAATTTCACATTTCACAGCTGGAATGGAAGATTGAGAATTGTATAATACTTGCATTTATATAAAAACCTATTACCTAGGAATATTCTTGATGCCCGTAAAAAAAATTTCTTTAATCTTCATTAATAAGCATGATAATTTATATTGTGATCACTAGACTTTATTGTGAATTTAATTATCATTTTAGGTATCCATTTAAAAAAATAAGTGATTTACTTATTAACAAATAACAAACAGATTTATCTGTTGAATATCATCATCAATGTTACAAATAAATCAAAAATGTACATAAAGTTTGCTTAACCACTGATGTTAAAAATTGAGTTGTACCTGAAATCTCCATGAATGAATATCTTTGTCCAGAGATCTCCTAACTTCATCAGTTCATGACGTAGTCAGTAAATTCACTGT